ATGAAAACATCTTACTCTGTAGATTTCTCGTTCACAGAGTTTTAAAATTATAGATTCAATTTCTAAAATAGTTATGAATTACGTATTTCATGTTAGTTGAACGTAGTGTTCATCACTTTGATTGCTAATTTAGATGTCAGTGTTGCCAATACTTACATCAAGTAACTATAGCAAGATTTTCAAAAGAGCAATTTAATCTAATTTGGTATCTTGATATCACATACACAAGATACATACAAGATAAACATATAGAAAAATATTTCTGTAACAGCAAAAAACAAGAAGAAACAGAAAAAGCAGAGTGCATGTGAGAAGAGAATCCAGAAGATGGCACATGGGAGAAGTGATGCCACTCATGCTGCGAAAGCCATGATGCATCGCTGTCCGGCCTTTTGGCTAACATCATGCGAACAAAGCCATGATGGGTGGCTGATTATTGTGCAGCATCACGTGGTCAACCTGGTTTACAAATACAGCAGGTTTGCATGGATAAGCAAGCCTGTGTTAAAACACAGACAGAACCATGCGTGCATATACCCTCTATCAACAGACATTTTGCCTACTACTTTTGGAAGGCTTTAAGAGTTGACAGGCCAACACAATAGCTCATCTGGCTAATCTTCAGCCTGCAAGTGCCAGCATCTCACATGGATGATGGTTCATGTCTTGGCTGCTCCACTTCCCTTCTAGCTTCCTGTTTATAGCCTGGGAAAGCAGTGGAGGATGGTCCAAAGCCTTGGAACCCTGCACCCAAATGGGAGACCTGGAAGAATTCTCACTCCTGGCTCCTGACTTCAGATTGACTTAGCTCCAGCCACTGTGGCCATTTGGAGAGTGAAAAAGAAGATGTAGAATCTTTCTCTGAATCTCTACTTCTCTCTGTAAATCTTTCTTCCTGATAAAAATAAATAAATCTTTAATAGCAACAAAGAGTAGGACTTTTAGGCTCACAACAGTGAAGGGCTCAATCAGACAAGATTTCAAAATTAGGGTTTGTATCATTTCAAAAGTGTGTGACATAAATCCAATCCAGGTATGGCAAATCTCATTCCATTATAAAGCATCACTTCATAACCTCAGTGAAGAGATTACATGCCAGCAAGCTAACGACCAAATGCTAAGTGGACTGAGTCAATACTGAATTATGTAAACAGGCCACAGATTTGGATACAGGTATCTTCTTTCTAAATGACTTTGTTATTTTAGTGGGATTTGCTGTCATGAAATATAGTGCAACATACAAGAATCACATCTTTCTGATCACTTATATGTGGGGGCAGAAATTGAAAATATTTGTCTTACAACTGAGCTCATTTCTAACCAGAGTCAGGAAACTCATTCTCCAAAAGATGACAAGGTTGCCAAGAAGCAGGCGCAGATGAAGGAAGAAAGCTAATGACATCTACAGAGACCACCCGGGCAAAGTTGAGCAAAGCCACTAAACGCCGAGCAGGCTGAGAAATGCAGAGGATCCTGAGCAAATTGTCCTTGCTTTCTCTCTGTATTCTTTTCTAGAAGGAGGACATTAGAAAATATCTAAATTCACTATTTGTGAAGGAGTATGAAGTTGCCCAACAAATCCTATTCTGGGAAGGTCACCAATCTTTGAACTCTAGGTATAGGTGATTGCAACATTGTTCAATATTATCCTATTCATTGCCCACATGTTCTAGTCAACAAGAAACCAGAAAAAATGTTAGAACCTATCTATCTAAAATTACAGGCCAGGGACTAGAAGATTTCCTGACTTCTAGCCAAGAACTCTTCTCTATCTACATTACAGTACTTCTCTTAGAGTTTAAGTGGCTTCTCTCATTCCTGATTATTCCCATATTTAGCTTGAGTCTAATCATCTCAATTACATTCAGATGAATATAACACATACTCTATCCTGAACCATTTTCTTCATTTTCAAAAAGTCTACTTAATAAATTTAAGTCTTTTATTCCTTATTTTTTAAAATTAACATAACATTTGTACTTTATAAAATGAAATCACCTAGATACCCATGTGATGATAATTATATAAAAAATGTGGCATGTATACAAGATGGAATATTATTCAGCCATAAATGTGTTAAATCCTGACATCTTCCACAAGGTGGACACAGATGAAGATTATGCTAAGTGAAATAAGCCAGACACAGAAAGACAAAATTCACATGTTCCCTGGGGTGTATAGAAATTTATATACCGTGAAAGCAATTAAGAAATATATGAAGCCATCTTTTGAGGATACATAAAATTATAAATGCTGTCTTCATTGAATTATACCCTACGCATTATAATGTATCTTTGTTTCCCCACTTTGTGATCTGTCGTGAAACACATTATGTTATTAATATCCGTACTTTCAAGATAAATAGTATATATGTGTACATAATATTTCTATATGAAGTGAGTATAGTAAAATGTTAAAAGTTACTAAATCCAAAAAAGCAAGTATTATATACATGCTTATATGTGCTACAGTATGATAATTTGATATACATGATTCCTTTTTCAGTGATTTACTTATTTTTATTGGAAAGTCAGATTTACAGAGAGAAGGAGATACAAAGAATAGTTTCTTCCTTAGGCAGGTTCAGTCCCCAGTGGCCATAATGGCCAGGACTGGGTTGATCCAAAGCCAGGAGCCAGGAGTGTCTTTTGGATCTCCTATGTGAGTGCAGGGTCCCAGGGCTTGGGGCCATCCTCGACTATTTTCCTAGGCTACAAGCAGGGAACTGGAACAGAAGTGGAGCAGCTGGGACATGAGCCCATGTCCATATGGGATCCTGGCTCTGGCGCATGCAAGGTGAGGATTTAGCTACTAGGCTATCACACCAGGCCTGATATATACGATCTTCAAAATTATTAAAAAGATACTCTGCCTTTAACAATAGAGAGGCTACTAAATCAGATAGAGCATTCTTCCTACTTCCAAAGGAGCTGTTGTAAACATGAGCATTTACCACAGTTCTCTCAAAGTTGGACATGTGAAGCCTCATCATCATCACCATGGATTGCCTTTTGAGACCAGTGACTGCCATTTATTTGTTTGGTCCCAGTTTAAACTTTTTGAAACTATTCTGACATGAGAGTGAGAGTACCTCAGTTTAAATCTTGGCCGTACTATTAACCAATCAATATTTTTAAAGATTTATTGATTTGAAAAGAATAATCACAGAGCCATGGAGACAGAAAAGAGACAAAGAAACAGAGAGAGCCTTCACCCCTTGGTTCACTCCCCAGATATCTGGATCAAAAGTGGAGCAATCACCATTTGAACTGGTGCTCATATAGGGCACTGGTGTTGCAGCCAGCAGCTTAATCCGCTGTCCCACAATGCCAGCCCCAACCAAACAGTTCGCTTTCATTTTTTTAAAAAGATTCTTTTTTTTTATTTGTGTGAAAGGCACAGCTGCAGAAAGAGCTAGCAGGAGAGACAGAGAGAGGCAGACTCGTCCAGGCTCCAGAATCCAAGCCTCACACAGCACCCTGCACCTTCCATGTGGTGGAAGGGACAAATTAATTCTCTTGAAGCCAATTTTTTAAGGCACAAAAAAAACCCTCATGAGCCAGTCACCTCCTCCAATGCCCAAATCTAAACAGCATTACAATGGTCATTTCAGCACAGCACTCTATAACATGGTCTCCCCCACATACACTTCTGTCTCTAAAGTTGTTCCTATCTTTTCTGTGTGAAGTGTTTGATCTTTTCTAAAAGTTGGATTCCAATAGTCGTTTAAAAGCCATTTGCTTCCAAAGTCATATTCATTGCTTTCCTCTAATTCTTACACAGATATTTAGAACACAAACAATGATCTCCTTTTCTAACTGTCCCATCTTTCAGAAGCATGAAAAAGATGGCATACACATCCCTCAACCAACACTACCGGAGGAATGCCTATGCAGGTAGGATAAACGGCAGACCTTATTTTCCTTATTATGTTATCTTAATTTCCTTACAAATTAGAATGATTGATCTATTAATATGTGTTTCTAAATTATTTGGGAGACATTTCATAAAGACAACATTGGGCCTAGTATGATAGCCTAGCAGCTAAAGTCCTCTCCTTGCATGCACTGGAATCCCATATGCATGCCAGTTCTAATTCCGGCAGACCTACTTCCCATCCAGCTCCCTGCTTGTGGCCTGGGAAAGCAGTCGAGGACGGTCCAAAGCCTTGGGACCCTGCACCCATGTGGGAGACCTGGAAGAGGCACCTGGCTCCTGGCTTTGGGTCAACTCAGCTCTGGCCACTGTGGTCACTTTGGGGAGTAAATCAGTAGACAGAAGATTTTCCTCTCTGTCTCTCCTCCTTTCTGTATATATGACTTTCCAACAAAAATAAAATAAATCTTTAAAAAAATTAAAACATTTTCTTGTATGTAGTCAATTTCTGATATATGAAAATATCTGGACAAAAGTATATGAACAGTTAGTTATGAAGGAATACATGTCAAATTTAGGCAGATATTTAAATAAGCATTAAGCAGTGTTATACATGGTATAACATATGGTAGCTTATTCCATTAAAACATAAACTCATAAAGCTCTACTTCAGTTGTGAAACAATCAGATCAAATGACTGTCAGAGTACAGAAGTATTTGGGAAAAACTTCAAACACTGCTCTTTCTCTCTCCTTGGGTAATTTTCTTGCTGTTGGAGTCCTAGTTCAAATGCCTTATTTAGAACAGGAGAACAGTTGTAGCAAAGGGTTTCCTGTGGTGTAAATTAGGCAGTGCTGTCCCATCAATCCTGGATGTACCCACTTCCTTAAGCCAACTCCTTCCAAGAGATTTTCCCAAGAAATGAGTTTCAGGCAATTTTAGTTTCCATCACTACTGTCCATTTGTCATAACTGGAAAAAATACCCTTTATGTTACTAAAAGATCTGTTATCCAGTATTTGCTAATTATGATTGAGACCAGAAACACACTAAGTTTCAAAGAAAACAATTGAGAGGAACATCTGAAAGTAATTTCCTCCCATTCTTTGTTGTTCTGCTACTCACGGCAAATCTTCCAAACTGGAGGCTTCATGTCTTGGATCCAACAGATCATAACCACATTCATTGTAGATTTCCAAATAGGAAATGTGTGTTGTATAGACTTTGCTGCTGTCCTGATTGGAATTGGGAAAGATGTTATTTAATGGCTATAAATAACAATTCCACTCAGAAGAAGTCACATACCCTTATCACTGGCTTCCTCAGATTCTCTGTCTCATTTGACATGGTTCAGTTTTTTTTGTGCGTGACACTTCACATGGCACAAAGCTTTTCCTTTAATGACCAACACCCATGATTACAAGCATGTTCAGTCTGTTATTCTTTATTGGTTTCACATTATACATAAAAAGTCAATATACACTTACAATGAGCCAACTTGGTTGCAGGCCTCTGAAACACACCATATTTTACTTTCTAGACCAAAAAAAAAAAAAGTGGGGGGAGGGCACTAAGAAAAAAATAAACTTTCATTCTATGAATAGTCTATTCATAAGAGAACGCAGGTCATTACTTTTAAAACTTTAGTAACAAATAGTTTTTATCTTCAACTATAATTTTCTTTTCCACTTTTCAAAATTTTATGGTGACATAAATAGATAACAGTGAAAATTTGTTACAACGAAACCAAAACTAATTTAGATCAATCAGGTTAGCAGTGGACATTAGCAGTTTGCAGCCTATATACCTCTCATATGGGGTTACTTCTTCTAGCTAAAATGAGCAAATCGGGGATATAGAGAGGTATCATCTATAAGTCACTACTGAAATGGAGTGAGAAAGGAACCAGTGTAATGAGACTAAAAGTAGACCAAAGACCCCACAAAACCTACAATCACATTGCTGAGGTAGAATAGAGGTGAGACATTTCTCAGCACTCAAGAAAAACTCCAAAATCAGTTTTCACTACCAAAAAAAAAAAGTCAAATAATAGTCCTTTTGTCTTGTTCTCATCAAAATACAAATGCTAGGATATCTGCAAATATTGGCTTGCTTCTCACAAGAGCTAAACGTATCTGCTTTGTGGCTAGGTTGTCATACTGGGTTCTAACAGGGGGATTTGCTTAGGGCAACCTTCTTCACTGATTATCACCTTGACCCAAAGTAATCCATTTAACAGGTGTTGTTCAAAAGGGGTAAAGTGCAGAGAGAAAACAGTGGCTTATAAAGCAAAAACCAGAATCCTAGTCTAGCCAGCCACAAGACTTTACCATGCAGGGCCTTGTTTTTCACACTTATTAAACCAAGGAAGTTGAAAAATAAACCTCCATATATTGTTTACTTTAAGGTTATTATTACTCTTTGGGCCTAAAATGATTCAAACTATCCAAATAAAGACATTAAAATCCTATCTAGACAAAATAATAAATAAAAAGTTAAATCGAAGCCAGCACATGACTACGACTCAGGTTAGAGTTCAACTTTCACATTTCAGTGTTTGTGAAGGTAACACGATGGACTGAATCTTTGCTGAGCGAATTTCAACCAAATGTTGGGAATTCTGCAATGTGGGTGACGCAAATGCTAATCTTAACAAATGGCTTATTTGATTACATTAGCATGATAGTTTGGTAAAAGCATCATTTCAATCTAATTCTTTCGGTTTTAACTTGGCTTAGTACAGGTATCAGAAACTATAAACACTGGAGAAATTCTGTGTGGCTGTTAGTCTAATCCAGTATTTCCTAAGTATTCCATGAAATAGTTTTGGAACAAAGTGTTCCATAGTCAACATCTACTCTTCTCTGGAAGATTCTTTCAGCATGTTATAAGTCCCTGGAGGATCCTTCAGCAACAGTCTTTAAAACAGCATATTTCTATATATTATATGAACATTGAAATGTTTCATTTGAAGATTTCAGCAATATTGGTTTGATCTCTTCTTAGAAAGAGACATAACTGGGTTTAAATAAACATACCATTTATTTTTGTTTTTTGAAATTAATTTATTTGAAAGGCAGGATCACAGAGAGATCTTTCACCTACTATTTCACTATCCAAATGGCCACAGTGATCAGAACTGGGCCAGGCCTGAAGTTAGCAACCTGAAAACTTGATCTGGGTCTCCGATGTGCGTGGCAAGACCCTAAACAATTGGGCCATCTCTTTCTGCTTTTCTAGGCTATTAGTAAGGAGCTGGATTCCAAGTGGAGTAGCTGGGACTTGAACTGATAGTTATATGAGATGTTGGCATTACAGGTAGCAGCTTAACCAGTTAGACCACACAATGGCACCAAATCTAAAATAAACATCTAACTGTGTCATCTTCCATCCTTATTCTCAATTATTTTCCCATGATACTAACTCAGGAAACAATAGCCCTGATCTTGAATAACTACTGTGACCAAGAAATGAGATTCTGTATTTAAAAATCTTAGAAAAAAATGTACGGTCTCTAACAGGTCCCACTAAGTTACTGCCACTGCCGCTGCTGCTGTTGCTACTGTTATTGCTGTTGTTTTGGCTGTTTTATTTTATTGCTGTTTACAGAAGACTCCAAATGGAGAATTCAGCATGTGAGTTAAAAAAGGAAAGGAAAAGAAAAGCAAAAACAAAAGCCACTGTGTATATGTGTCTGCTGTAGAGCAACTCTTTTTTCCAGGAATTAGAATAAACCATAAAAAAGTCAGGAAAATGGCAAGTCCACTGCCCTGAGACTTGGGCTTCGCTAGTTTTTGCGTTTCCTGGATTTTTACTGGAACACACACTTAAAGAGCACTGAGCTATGTGGCAGGCTACCTTTCCTTGTTACTGCTTCTCAGAGTTCAGGCATGCCAGACCGTAATGTAACACACATGTTTCCTGCAGACGCTTTTTCTCCTGCCCCGCCCCCCCAACAAGTCTGAATCTCACAATACTCAAAAGTAATGAACAGTGATTTTTAAAATAAATGAAATCAATGCTCTCTTAAAAATCAGTGAAACCGTGCTCCTGTCACACTTGTTGGGCGTTTCAGATGCCGGGCCTCAACACAGGGCTCTTACTTTACCTTGATGTAAAGACTGATGAAGTCCAATGTTCCCTTAGGAATTCTGGAGGGTTGCACATGGCCCTGTAAGCTAGTCAGACTGGAGACCTCTGAGCACTGTCTGAGTTCTTGGGCTATGCAAAGCAGAACAGACTACATGATGCAATTCCAGCCTCCTGTCTTTCACTGTGGTTCTGTTTGATTACAATCAAATTGTTGTACCCCATCATGGAAATCTGGCCATTTATAAAGAGCTACATTGGCTGTAAGTTGGCCCGGGCTCTCTGTCCAGACCCAGGAAGTTATGTAGGATCATTCTGAGGGAAACGGGATGAGGGCAATGTCAAGGACAGCAAGATCTGGACACAGGTCTCACAGATGGGAAGAACTCCGGAGATATTCAGACTTTTAGAGCTGTACTATGCTAACTGAAGATGAATTTAAAAAAAAAAAGTTTAAAAACAGTTTCTGCTAAGAGGAGATCTGCCTATTCTGTTTAACTTCATCGGGAGAACTGACTTAATATGTTCTGAGAGTTTCGGGGGTCCTCTGACATTGGGCAGTGATTGACTTTACAGACACTAACAGCACCCATAATTTTATGCATGTATGATGTGCCAAGAAATGGACAATATCTTTAAATACAGTATGTTTGGCCTCTCAATGACTCTGCAAGAGAGAAGAGGCATTCTGAGGCCACAAGCTACGTGTGGGTAGCTCAGAACCAGCCCAGTCTGTCTGAACAGCAGCACTCAGACATTTATCCACAGCAACAGCAACTATGGAAAGTGGCAGTCCAAGTTTGCAAACTGTGCGAACAACAGAAAACAGGTAATGGCAGAGAGAGATGAGCCACTTGAAAAGCAACGCTTTGGGCCTCACATATGCTACTCTCATATGTGCAGGAGGACCCATCCTCCAAATCTCTGGCGTGCAGAATTGGCATGCTTAGGTTAGTGAGAGATGAGCTGAACTAATGGATAATTGCTGTTTTATGGATAGCAATTAGAATTATGTAGATCTCAGCAATTTCTTCTCATCTTCACCACTCCAAATGCAAATAGCATACGGTGGGGGCGATTTTGAAGTGACTTTACATTGACTCAGTTAGGACATTTGTTATATAGAACTAATACAACCCCAAAATAGCTGGAGATCTTCCAATACGATTCAATCCCTACTGGTAAAAAGCAGAAAACTGAAACCCACAGAAGGTAAGGGACTAACTATAGGGAATTTGCTGAAACACAACTAATAAAATCAGACCAGACTGTAGTACAAGGAGCAGTACTTACAATCATTAAAAAGCACAGTGGTTTGCTTCAGACAGACCTGGGGTGGAATTCCAGATGTGCTACGTAAAAGATGTGGACTTGAGCCTAGCGTGGTAGCCTAGCAGCTAAAGTCCTTGCCTTGTACATGCCGAGATCCCATACTGGCGCCGTTTCATATCCCGGTGGCCCCGCTGCCCATCCAGCTCCCTGCTTGTGTCCTGGGGAAGCAAGAGAGGACAGCCAAAAGCCTTGGGACCCTGCACCCACTTGGGAGACCTGGAAGAGGCTCATGGCCCCTGGCTTCTAATCGGCTCAGCTCCGGCCACTGCGGCCACTTGGGGAGTGAATCAGTGGACAGAAGATCCTCCTTTCTGTATATCTGACTTTCCAATAAAAATAAATGAATTAATGTAAAAAAAAGACATGGACTCAGTGAATCTGATGTTTAGTCGTTCCAACTACATAATGGGTAAAAGGAGACCTACCTTGTTAGTTATGTTATGTGTTGTGTTGAATGCACTTGGAGGTATGCAATAAAATGACACCATATGATAAGTCATTCAAAAGTTCATCTGTGACTGGCCCTATGATACAGCAGGTGAAAACTGCCCCTGCATCACTGGAATCCCATAGGGGCACAGGTTCAAGTCCTAGCTGCTCCACTTCTAATCCAGCTCCCTCTTAATGGATCTGAGGAAGCAACAGAAGATAGTCCAAATCCTTGGGCCCCTCTTACCCACGTGTGAGACTTAGAAGAAGCTCCTGACTTCAGCCTAGCTCACCTCCAAATGCAGTGGCTATTTGGGGAGTGACCCAGAGGAATGACAAATCTTAATGTCTCATTATCTTTCACTGTTTCTGTCTCTCCTATCATTCTTTCAAATAAAAATAAATAAATAAACACATAAATAAATAGCAGCACTTCCTTAGTTTCTACTTTTTCAGCAAAATCCCAAACTTTCTTTAAAAATTAGGTCAGTATTAAGACACAATAATATCATACATATATACTATACAAGCTGGGATTTCTGTAATTGAAATTCTTGGGGACAGAAGAGTTTTGGATTTCAGATTTTTTTTATTTTGAAATATTTATGTATGCATACTGAGATATCCTTGGATATCTGGGAGGTGGGACCCAGGCCCCAAGATGAAGTGAATCTGTTTCCCACACATCTTATACACATAGGTACACCACAGCCCTGGCCCAGCCTAAAGGCATTTTTATCTTCCTACCTTCTGACTGTGATCTATCACATGAGACTAGAAGAGGGATTTTTGCATGTTAGGGTGTTTTGCTAAATTACAAAACTTGCAGATTTTAGAACACTTCAAATTTCAGGTTTGGGGTTTGGGGATTAGAGATATTCAACCTGCATAATGAAACCTTGCAATATTCATTGCAAATTTGTATGGGTTATGTAAAATAGAGAATAAATTTAGTCTCATACCTTTTGTAACTGCTCAAAAATGTATGACAGGGTCCTTGGGATAATGCCTCTGTCACTGTACCGCTCAGCCCCGCCCGTGATGGTGAATGTCTTTCCGCTGCCCGTCTGCCCGTAGGCGAAGATGGTTCCATTGTAACCCGCCAGCACACTGCAACACAGAAACAGCACACTCCAAGCATCCAAAGGGTTAACTGCGTTTGCGTTACCAGCCTCTATTATAACAGGAGTTTTTATCAAACACTACGGAAACGACATTTTAGGGAATGTATGGAAATGCCTACAGAGACGCTCATAATGTGAATATTTACCTGAAATTTATATTTTTATCCAAGAATATCCAGCACAGCAGCTCTTTTGGCTCCTTTTCAGCACAGGTTCCACATGAAGACATGGAACTCAAATAAATTCTAATCACTTTAATTTTTTTTTCATTTTTAGCATTTTGGACTTGAATCAAAACATTTGTATAAATATCCCAGCAAGACATCACCCAGTAATATGACAAACTGTCAACCTGACACCTAGTAACTCCTGCAATGAACACTTGCAACAGCAGTCACCTGCTAGATCAAGTGGTCACACTGTGCTTGTCACCTTGGAATTTGTCTTTTTTTTTTTTTTTTTTTTTGGTGGAAAACGCTGATCCATGTATGTTTTTTCAGCTCTGTGGAACAGCCTTTGCTTTGAAAGTGGTCTTTAAAATCTCAGATCTTTGCAATTGTCAGTAATACAGGCCTGTCACAATGTGCAGGGTGTGATACAGACTTTCAGGAGTGTGTCTTTTACCTATGCCACCTGGAACTGTAAACCACTGCAGCTTCACTTTTTTTTTTTTTAATGTGGGTCCTTGATTGCTGAGATGTTGTCATCCAAACAGCCGTGATGATGTAGCTCGTGGCCCCCATGGCATGAGTGGCGTTTTGGATAGAAGACTTCCCGTGCAGGACTCCTTATTGTTCACATTGGGATTCCCGCTCCACTACTTCTGCTGAGGTATCGTCCACAGTCCTCTTGCTATCTCACTGTGCTTTCACGCATTCACTAAGAGTGATCTATCACCCTGAGGGTCTACCAAACATACAAGGGCTGCTGACCACCCGTGGTCAGTAAATGGTGAAGTCTTCAGCATCTTCTATACTGATTGAATTAATAATAATAGTGGCTTCAGCAATAAATCAACTTAGCCTTTTCTCTGGAGGTGGAAGGTGTTATTAGAACTTTCTACTTAAAGGACCTAGAACACAAGCAGTGAGGCCGAGGGTATTCCTACTTTGTGGTCCAACTTTCTACTTTTGAGAGGCTTGTCATCTTTTTTCAGTTGTCTTTCACATAAAGGCATTGCACTGTTGACACACGTAGCTTGTAAGATGTTGGTACCATGAGTGTTATGATTCAAACATATCCCCTTCCCTAAAACTCATGCTGAAATTGAATTGCAGTTACAGTAATACAGAAAGGCGAGACCTTGGGAGGTGATGAGGTCGTGAGGACTTGTCCTCCTGGGTGGATGAATGCCAACTGTCACAGGAATGGACTTCTGATAAAAGGATGGGTCAGCCTGGGTTCCCCTGCTCTTTCATGAGTTTGCTTGTCATTCTCTCATGCCAGGACACAGCAAGAAGCAATCCCTAAACAAAAGATGCCCCTTAATCACAAACATCACAGCCATAGGACAGTGAGTTGAGCAAACTTCTCTTCACTGGTTCTATGCATACAGTTATAGCAGTAAGCAAACAAAGACAATGAACTGAGGTAAGTGGTTACAAGATCTTCTTCCTCAACAGAATTTGTCACCCATGAACTAGCAATGTCCCATTAGTAATAACATTTGGATATATAGTATTTTGTTTTTATCCAGAAATGTTCCAGGTTATTAGGCTATATCTGTAAACACCAAGTCTTAAATATTTAACTGATTCTTTTTAAATTAATTATTAAAGATGTTTATTTTTACTTTTATGGTACAATTCCATAGGTTCTAGGATTTCCCTTACCTGCTCCCCAAACTCCCTCTCCCTGTCCCGATTTCCCCATATTTTAACAATAGTACAGTCCTTCATAGGCAGTCATAAGTCCATCATTCTGCTATCTAAATGTATCCTGACATTGTGGATATGGACAATAGCAGACAGTCCAGCATCTTATTGTCAAGATATATTTAATAGTTTCATTGGAAGTCCATCGTTGGTTTGGAAGTAGAGATGCACACAGCATTGTATTTTCACATGTTTATATGATAATCTCTATTATACAGATACTATACATCCCCTTAAATGAAAAGCCATACTACAAAATCAACAACAGGAATAAAGTTTAAAAATTTACAACTCCATGAAGTTAAATAACATTCTACTGAAGAATTAAGCAGAAAACAAAAAAACCTTCCTGGAGAAAACAATGTTACTGTATGACCTATGAGTCATTGACGAATTTAGCCAAATGCCCACCAAAAGAGGAGTGGAGGGCCTGACACGGTGGCCTAACAGCTAACGTCCTCTCCTTGCATACTGTGGAATCTCATATGGGCCCTGGTTCTAATCCCGGAGGCCCCAATTCCCATCCAGCTCCCTGCCTGTGGCCTGGGAAAGCAGTAGAGGATGGCTCAAAGCCTTGGGACCCTGAACCCATGTGGGAGACCTGGAAGAGGCTCCTGGCTTCGGATCAATGCAGTTCCAGCTTGTGGAGTGAATCATTGATGGAAGATCTTCCTCTCTGTCTCTCTTCCTCTTTGGATATCTGACTTTCCAATAAAAAAAAATTTTTAAAAAATGAAAGAGGAGTAGATTAAAAAAAAAACAGTGGTACATCTACTCATGGAGTGCTACTCAGCCATTAAAAAGAATGAAATCCTACCATTTGCAACCAAATGGTCCCAATAGAGACCATTATGCTCAGTGAAATAACTCAGAGCACAAATATATGATAAGGTGACCTTCATGCAAAATAGAAGATCAGTAGCCCTTTCAATATTATTTTCATTTCTTCAAAATAGTTTCTTTTCTATTGATGACTGACAATGTTTTAAAATATATTAGACAATGCCATAATACACTTAAATAGCAGAAAAAATATATAAGAGGCATTCTTTCTCTTGAAAAGTAAAGACTACAGAGGCCAAATAATATTTTCACCTTGATGTAGCTATAGCCTGTGAAGCCTGAGTACTAAAGCATCCAACATTGGCACTCACAAATTTTTTTGTATACTTTTAATATTTAACTCTCGTGTTTCAATGTGAGTTGTCCTATCATATCTGCTTCTAGTATGTGATACTCTACCCCATTTCCTATGGGAAAATTACATGGTATAGTTTCACAAAACACTATGTAAATTATGTAAAGATATAGGCACCACCTATATATATGCTTCCATTAATATTCATTTGTTACATTGCTACCACAGAAAATTAAGGAATGCATGCAGGAAAAGCTTGTCTCCAGTTCCTTTCGATAATGCTTCTTCATCTCGACCCAAATTGCAAAATGTCCTCTTCATAAGACATTAGGTATTATCCTGTATCTCTGATCTATTACAAGTGAAAATATTAATCAACAAATGAAAAAATGTGGGGAATGAAGCAGGTTAAGCCACTGCTTGAATCACTGCATTCCATGTGTGCCGAGAATTGAGTCTCTCCTGTTCCCAAGCCAGCTCCTTAATAATGTACACCTGAGAGGCAGTTGGCATGATTCAAGAATTTGGTCCCTACCAACCACGTAGGAGAACAAAATGGAGCCAACTGGCTCCTGATCTCAGCCTGACCTAGCCCTGGCTGTTGCAGGCATTTGGGGAGAGTCTCAGAAGGCAGAAAACCTATCTGTCTTTCTCTTGCTCTTCCGAATAAATAAAACATTGAAAATCTTAAAAAAAAAAAAAAGTAAATAAAGATAAATGATGGAATAAAGACCTTTGAAAGTTCATTCCTCCACAATAACAATGATATCTGTGTCTCTCTCTCTCTTTATATATATATACATGTGCATATAAAATATATGTACATATACATGTACACACACATATATACACACAGTCAAATCAGCCTGAAGTACTCTGCAAAATATTTCAAAGTTCACAACAATCTAAGAAGCATTTTTAAAAACGGCTGAAACTCAGTGAAACAGTGGTTTTTATGGCATTTGACCTTGAACATTCTAAAGTCTCTTTCCTCAATTCCATGGTAGCCTTGGAAAGGAATAAGCTTGAAATCACAAGCAGCTGTGAAAATCAGAAGTCTGTTCACCAAGGAAGCAGCATCTAAAGCAGGTTCAGGGGGCCTCAAAATGGCCTCTTTTAAAAAACTCACTCTCTAACTTGTCTGGTAGCTCCCTGGAAGTCTCACCACATTTGCTTGTCTTTACTTGACCTGACTCAGAGCTCACTCAGTGCAAGCAGCTGTATCCCCAGGGTGACTGTTGTAAACATCAGTGGCAAATGTTTAGTATCACAGCTGCCTAGAGCTGTGCTATTGGTGAGGTAAACAAGAAGGTGGCCAAGAGCTTAAGAATCTATGGAATTAGAAGTCTACGAAGGACTTTGGAAAGTCATGACATGTTCCTGGGACTGTGAAAGGCTATGTACAGGCACAGAGCTAGATGCACCACCAGAAAAGGATTCCGCAGCTCATATTTCATGTATGGCTAGCCTTGAGACTCTATAGTCTCTTATACTTACCCTCTTAAACTCTTTTAAAGCAAAAAAAGTATTTTTATTAGAAAGGCAGGTTTACAGAGAGACAAAGATCTTTCATCTGTTGGTTTACTCCACAAGTGGACACAGTGGCTGGAGCTGAGCCGATTTGACGCCAGGAGCCAAGAGCTTCTTTCAAATCTCCCACGTGGGTGCAGCACCCCAAGAACTTGGGCCATCCTCAACGGCTTTCCCAGTCCACAGGCAGAGAGCTGGATGGGAATTGGAGCAGCCAGGATAGGAATGTGCACCCATATGGGATCCCAGCATATTAAAAGTGAAGACTTTAGACTCTAGGCTACCACACTGGGTCCTCTTAAACTTTCACACTTACAGCAATAAATGTAATAAATCAGAATTATAAATGTTTTTTTTAAAGATTTATTTTTATTATTTTTTTATTGGAAAGGCAGATATACAGAGAGGAGAGACAGAGAGGAAGATTTTCCATCTGATGATTCA